AGATTTTCCAGACTGTCTAGGCTGGCAAAAATGCATTTTCCAGACTACAGCAACATTGTATGGTGGTTCCAAGTGTATCTTGCATTTCAAGTGACAACCTTGTTTCAAGGTTGTGGGACATAGCATATATGCCAGATTTTCCAGTTTGTTCTCAGCAATTAGCCTTTCATATGGAAATTGTGTCACTGTTTAGATGCCAGAATGGGACACGTACAAAGCAGCTTAGTTCTTGTACAGCTTTCTATAAAATAATGGATCCTTGAGCTCAAGGCTGAGGAGCTCCTAGCCTGTGCTTCGGGATCTAGGGAAATTAATCTTCTCCTTATCTTCCCTCTGCTTGGACCCCTTTAAAAGGTGTAGTGACTTTCATTATAGCTAAATACATTGTTGCCTTTTTCTGGTGATTGCAAAATAAAATGTTTATTGTCCACACTACAGTGATGTGTTGTACCAACAGCTGTTAAGGAGCTGGATTGTTTCTGCGCTGCCAAGAAGCCATGTATCTGTGTATACAGAATATTCAGCTATTACCAAGTACCTTGCTATTTTCTAGGATTTAAATATCTCACCTCTTTTACTTTGTGGAATCTGAGTCAGGAGCAGTCCCTTGAGCCCTCAAACCTTTAGAACATCTAGTCAGGTAAGAAAGGATCATTGCTGAACTTTGTCTGTGATATACTACCACAGCATGCTACCAAGATTCTGCTGTAGAGGAATAAAATTTGGGAATTCATCAAATCTCTTCTTGGGAAAAAAAACCATATGCTTTAAGTCATATGATACCTGTGATGCACAGAAAGGAGAATGTGTTGAAGCACACAATACTGAGGAATTTGAAGCAGCTTTCAGCATCCACTAAATTCAAGTTATTTGGATTAATATATTTTTGTTTTGGAAACTGATCATCTTATTAATTCTACCTTACCTACTGTCTTTAAACATGAATTAAGTGTCTTTTAAAGCCCTGTAACTGATGATTCTGGATGTTAGAAGTGAATTGGCCATGCAGTAAAGCTCCTTGGAGATTAGGCTCATTTTTCATTGTGTGTAGCAGAAATAGGAGTAGAAATACACAGTAGAATATAACAGGATATAATGCTCAAAGTAGATGTTTCTTCAGAAAGAAGAGTTTGATGAAGTTATAACCAAACTTAGCATTTAAACACAGCTGACAAAAAAACCCCAAACCTGTTAATTTACAGATTGGCACACTGTTTTTCTTTAAATTGTAGCTGAAGTTATTAAAAATGATGGTTTGTTCCTATGCAGAAAAGATATTGCATTATTAAATTGCAACTAGTGTGAGATAATTATTTATGCAACGTCAATTTTGGCATGTGTATTTTCCAATTTTGTTTTTTATGCTGGAACCTGAGTTCAGAGTGCATCTCCTGCTGTAGAGTTCCAATCAAATGACGTGCATCCATGGAAGCACATATTTGCTGTAAACAAGCAAATGCTCTAAACAGTGGTACTGTGAGCAAGAGGGTAAGTCTTCGGTAATAGCAATGCCTAGCACTTCCTTCTGCTCATGGGAAGGAGCTGCACCTTTCTGAATTATAAGGGTTTTGCATCTCTATGCATTTCTAGAAAGTGAGTAAAAATACCTTTAACTTTGGCAAGTAACTTTCTTGTCCGTATCAGCTCCTACATGATCCTTATATGGTCTGAACTTCTGTTATTTAGTTATTTTTTATTTCGGTGTAATTTTTGTTGATCTTGAGTATCAAAAGACCTTGAGTAATTGGAATAGATGTGAAATCACCAGGTTTTGAAGTAATGCTGGACATCATGTCATGCTAGTCCAGCCTGCTTGCTTTTCTAGATGAACAGAAGAGTGCTGCTGTAAACGACTTACCTGTCTTTCTTCAGAGGGCCCACAGGGACTCTGCAGCAGACAGGATTATGTGTTACAGTCACATAGGTCTAGAGCAATGAGGAGGTGTTAACTTACTAAAACTTCATGGCAGGTGCTAGCCCCAGGTTAGAAAACTGAATTTTTACTAACTTGGACTGCTCTTGTAATCTAGCAGCCAGAGAAAATTAACAAGTTATCTGTTTGGTTAATTTTAGCTGGCTTGGGAAATTATGATCATACCACGTACTGTACCCCTAAATGGCTCTCAACTCCAACTACTACAGATGTAACTTCTTACTATGACCCAGGAAAACCTGAAAAAGCTTAATAGAAGAAGCATCCCAAGCTGTTGCCCAGATTTTTCCGAAGTAATTAAGCCACAATAAACACTTCCCAATTTTCCTTTATGCTAAAGAAATTTCTAATATTTTGCTGATTTAAGATTATAAAAGTCTGAAATGGACAAAATTCTGGTTTTGTTTTTTTTTTTTTAGAGTTCAAATCTTATGGTCTGGTTAGGAGACAAACAGTTAAATCTATTTAAAAATACCGTAAACCATTCTTTTGAAGTGTGCATAAATGTATGTGTATTCTCATTTGTATTTCGTAGTACTGGAGTGACCTCACTGCTTCCTCTGGGAATTTGTCTCACAAGGCATTTACATAAAATATAAGGCAAGGATTGGGCTGAACTGTAAAGTGTGATCAGTTGGCTTTTGGAGGTGTAGTTGCCATGGTAGTCTTTTCCAAGTCTGACTGGGGCATTTTATAAGGCTGAAAAAACTGCTAAACTAAAGATACTTTATTTTGTATAAAGTTTTTGTTCTTATCACTGAATATAATCACGAGGGATGATATGGAATGAGGAAGATACAACAAGTACATGGATGGAAAAGAAAATGAATCTATAAGTTATAATGATGACAATCTAATTATTTTCATACTCAGTTAATCTAATTAGTTTTGTAAAGTCTAAAACTAAAATGTTGCAGTGTGTTCGTGTCTTTAGGGGACTGTTTTAAGAGAATTACATGTGCTTGAGAGGAAAATTACGGTTTTACTCAAGAAATGCTTCACTTTTTATTGAGACTGGTATCTTTAATCTACTCCAAGTAGATTACAAGTTCCTTGTTTGCTAGCAAGAGTGATGATTGAATACTTTGTTTTCTTGGGTAAGTCAGTCTTCCTAGATGTGTTCTGGGCTATAACTATGTTGTTAACACAAACATTTTTTTTGCCTCTGAAAACAAACAGCAGCATAGAATTTAATGTTCTTTGAGAAGTCACACAGGACTACATACACTAGAGTAATAGGTAATTTGGTAGATAATAACTCTACAGAGGAAAACACTTCCTCAGCGTCTATCTTAAATTATTTTATAAATCAGAGTTATGTAGTATTTATATAAAAGGACATGACAAATAGTATTCACTTGATTCTCAGTGCAAAATTAGGATAAGTCACTACTGTATTAACAGCAAACAGACTGTGTAAAGCTGTATCAAAAGTTGCCATATATTAAATATGGTGTATCATCATGTAGGCTTTTAGTTTGTGTCAAGAGTCTTAGGCAGAGAAAGTCTAGCAGTCCGTCCTTAAACTCCAGCTGCCTCTAATTGCTGCAGATTTTCTGAAAAGAGGTAGCCTGTAAGACACACAAGTGCCGAATTATAAAGGTCGAATCCAACACATTCAGATTCAGTGGGAAAATGGAGTCGTACTGATTATGGAGCAAAAGAGCAATGCATGCTTGGTAGAAAGTCCTCTTAACCAGGCAGCTGTATTCAAGTCTTGCAGCCAGTCTTTAGATGGCTTTGCTTAGTGCAGAGTGTGCTGTATTAGTTTCACTTCTGAGGTCACAAAAGCATGGACTGCTTGGGTCAAATCATCATTCAAATTTAACAACATTAAGGCTGAAGAAAGCTTTCTTGCCAGCTGCATTCAGAAGAGCACTGAATGCCACACACAGTTTTACTGGCTAATTTAAAATCCTAAAATTCTGAATCACTTGGAGCAATTTTTATTGGACTTTTCTTTCTTTCTTTTGAACTGCTTTATTTAAATATAAATAACAATAACAGGTCTTTGACACCTAATAAAACACAATGCATGCTCATGCTTATTGGTTTTAGGTGAGCATTTTTTTCATAGTTAAGTATGTGAGCATAGAAGTCTGTTTATCTGTTCCACTTTTTTGACCCTTTCTTCTAATATTTATTTATTGAATATAGTAACCAGAAACTCAGTGCCTCCATTGTAAGATGATACCACTGAGAAATCACTCAGATACCGTTGTTGGATAATAAAAACTCCTTATTCCCCAGCCTATATTCTCAAAATCATTAGTTAATCGAATAAACATACTCATATGCAGCAACCACTTGTCTCCATTCTGAAATCAATACTGTATGAGGGTGTCATGGTTTAACCCCAGCCAGCAATACGCACCCCACAGCTGCTCGTTCACTCCCCCTGGCTGGGATGGGGAAGAGAATTGGAAGAGTAAAAGTGAGAAAACTCGTGGGTTGATCTAAAGACAATTTAATGGGTAAAGCAAAAGCCACACACACAGGCAAAGCAAAACAAGGAATTCAGTCGCTGCTTCCCATCGGCAGGCAGGTGTTCAGCCATCCCCAGGAAAGCAGGGCTCCATCAGGCGTAATGGTTACTTGAGAAGAAAAACACCGTAACACTTGAATGTCCCCCCTTCTCCTTCTTCCCCCAGCTTTGTATGCTGAGCATGACATCATATGGTATGGGATATCTCTTTGGTCAGCTGGGGTCAGCTGTCCTGGCTGTGTCCCCTCCCTTCTTGTGCAGCCCCAGCCTACTCGCTGGTGGGGTGGTGTGAGAACCAGAAAAGGCCTTGACTCTGTGTAAGCACTGCTCAGCAACAACTAAAACATCCCTGTATTATCAACACTGTTTTCAGCACCAATCCAAAACATAGCCCCATACTGGCTACTAGAAGAAAATAAACTCTATTCAGTGAATTTAATTTGTGAAAACAAGCTAACAGCCTTAACAGTTATTTGTAATTTGTATATCTTATGTACTTCTTGGGTTTGTTTTCCTTATTAAAAAAATGCTTTATAAATTAATCTGTTCTTTTTTCTTTCTTGTACCTTTATCCTTTCCAAGGTTATGCCTTTCTGCTGTTCCAGGAGGAAAGCTCTGTACAAGCTCTGATAGATGCCTGTCTGGAAGAAGATGGGAAACTTTACCTGTGTGTGTCAAGTCCCACAATCAAGGATAAACCAGTAAGTAGCTCATGCCGTGACACTTAGGCTGGTTGCTAACCCATTTGCTGTTACTCTTTTCATTTAATAAATAAATAAAGAAAAACAGTGGATTGACTTGTCCATTGCTGTCCTTGCTGTTATGTTGAATTGACTTTCCGTATCAGCTTAACCTGGTTTTAACATTTGCTGCTTTCTCATAAATGCCACATTCAATTAAATTTTATATTCACATCTCTAACATTCTTTAATGCTAGTCTTTTTTGTGGCTATTGATACATACAGATTAGATGAAAACTACAGACAAATATGATTAGATGAAAGATGTGCTGCCTTTTAAAAACACTATTAAAAAGCTTGCACAAAGGAATGAGCAACCCAATATTACAGCATAGTGAGTGTGCTTACATGATTTCTAGGATCAAGAAATAGATGGAGGAACAGCTTTATCCAAATAACTTCTGAAGAGTTTTTCTCTGTAATCTAAAGATTATCAGCTGTGTTGCCTGTTGCTTAACAGAAGTGATTCCTTCAGTATCTATCTGTATCTATCCAGAAGACACAAACTCCCTTTATATCCAAGCACAGAAATTAATTTTATCACCACTCCTATCAGTGCTTTAAAATTTCTGGATCACTGTGTGTGATTTCAGGAAACCCGGAAGCCCAAACTGCAGCTGTAATTGCAGATACCTGGTAAAATGTTCTGAAAGTCCTTTCACAGATTTCTTTTTATAATAGTGATTAGAGGCAGGGAATTAATGAGGAAGGAGTTTGCTATGATGAAATGTAACTCAAGCCTGGCCTCTAGAGGTGATAAACGAATTGTCCACCTTCCTTCAAACACTTCGATAAGCTATGTTCTCAAATTGTTTTGGTGCTTATACCAGCAATTTGCTGCTTTTACTAAGTTAAAATTATATTTTTAATTCTAGAATGATTTGGCAGTTGTTTCTTAATTTTGGGTTGTCAAGTTCCTCTGCTAAAAAAAATTCTTAATACAGGTGCAAATTCGACCTTGGAACCTAAGTGACAGTGACTTTGTGATGGATGGGTCTCAGCCTTTGGATCCAAGAAAAACTATCTTTGTTGGAGGAGTTCCACGGCCCCTCCGAGCTGGTGAGTAGGAGGAAAATGTAGGGCATGTAGTAGGGAGTTTGAGATGAAGCAGAGAATATTAGAAAACATGTATGTAACATGTATGTAAAAAAGCAGAAAATATACCCTGTATTTTCCAATGATTGTAGCTCACTTTCTGAGTCAGTGTGTGTCTTCCTGTCTACAAAATACAAACTGTGAACATTTTTGGTCTTTGAAATAGGTTACTAATTAGGATTTTCAGTAGAAACACTTTTCCCCAAGTTTGCATAATATCCTAGAATCTGGCTGATTTTTTGTAATGTATACCACCTTAATCTTAACCCTCATTTACTTGCTGAGATGCAAACAAGTTCCCCTTTCCTTTGACTAGACAACAAACTTCTCCCAGCCCCTTTCCAAACCAGTTCCAACTGCAGCTCTATCATTAGTCTTTCCCTTTTCCCATGGAGCTATAGACAAGGCCTCTCAGCCATTGTCCAGAAGACCACTTTCCAGACACACTTCTAATGTAGCTCGTTTTCTCAAGTCTTTTTTCTTCACCCTTAACTCTTCTTCACTTTTATTTGCAGAGCCATAGACAAGACTCCCTAGCCTTTGTCCAGAGGAAAGATTTATCCCAGTCCAGATGTCCTGGCAGCCCCCACTGTTTTGAAGGCCCCCTTTTCAGCACCAGTCCCAACTATAGCTTGATACTCTTTTCTTTCTTCCTAACCCTTATATTTTTGGTGAGCCAATGACAAGGTCACGAAGCAAGTTGAAACATTTATCCTAGCTAGGTCTTTTGGCAGCCCTCACTTCCATTTAGTGGTCCCTCTCCATCCTCACTCCAAGTCAGCTGCATGGTTTCTCTTTTTCATTCTCTCAATCTTAATCCTAATTTTCCAGGCTTTAGGAGACAACCCCCTCAGTCGTTGTCTGGAAGAAAGACTTCTGGATCAGGTTTCCTGGTAGCCCTCACTTTCCTTTGGCAGCCACTTTCCAGCCCACTAGAACTTCAGCTCCTCGCTTTATCTTTTTCCTAATTCCTTTTGGGAAGCTATACACGGGGTCCCTCAGTCATTGCTGACAGGAAGATTTCTCCCAGTCCAGGTTTCTTGGCAGCTTTCACTTTCCTCATCATCTTAAAATAAGGCATAAGACGGTAATTATGTAAATTGTCACAATTAAACATTACCTCATTTCTGATTATAGCCTTTATAAAACTGTGTGTCATTTGGCCTGTCATAGATTACATTTGAAATGCATTACATTTGAAAACTGATGCCTTTAAATAGTTAACTTCTCCAAAGCAAACACTTTCCAGTTTTTCTTGTTTGCAGCTTTAAAGATCTGATACAGAAGTTTATCCTAAGATGTCTGAACAGTGCATGGTTTCCTTGCCTGGAATTGTATATATTCTTTGTCTATTGGCAAGAGTAACTTAATGGAACTACTATTGAAATTTTGTTAAGTGTTCCTGATGTTTATTCTCTACAGTCACTTTCTGAGATTGTTATCCAATTATTATTATTTATCTTTTCAACCTTAGTACTTAGGGCAAAATATCAGATTCTAAATACATAAATATCTTCAAGTAATCCTGTATGTAAACTAGCATTAACAAGCCTGGGTGGACCTGGGGGAGATCGTGAATACGTAATCCCAAAAATGACAGTTTTAATTTACAGTCCGATAAATTCTAAAGCAGTTGACCTGATACCTACTTTAACAACGTAACTCTACATTTTTTTCCACACTTCAGTCACACCAAGTTTCTTTTTACAGATTCTGGATTTTGCCTTTGTATTTTACTATAATTCATGGAGGGTTGATTCAATCTGTTAAAACCAATGTTTGGGTTTGCTATTTTAGACTTTGGAAGGCGAGTACGCTACGGCAAAAAAGTACTTTTTAATGCAACAAACCAAATGCAACACTGATCTATGTTAAATCTACAATATTTAACAATTGACTTCTTGCAGTTGAATTGGCAATGATTATGGACCGTTTGTATGGAGGTGTCTGCTATGCTGGCATTGATACAGACCCAGAGTTGAAGTATCCAAAAGGTGCTGGCAGAGTGGCTTTCTCCAATCAGCAGAGCTATATTGCTGCTATCAGTGCTCGCTTTGTCCAGCTCCAACATAATGACATTGATAAACGGGTAAGTAAAATAGAATGGAACAAAATGGTTGTTACAAAACTACAGAAGTGAAAAACAGCCTTATATTGTGTTAGAGAACGCTGTAACCTCTGTTCTTCAGATGACATTTGTTATTTATTGAAAAGCTTATTTAAGCAGTTAAAGCAGAGTGAAAAAATATATCTCAAATGTCTTTAAATAACTGTTTAGCACTATAAACAGAAAATAGTGGGTTGTAAGCTTGTTCTTGGTTTTGTTTTGAATTCTGAAGGTCAAATACTGTAGAATTTCCCAGCGTCTTTCTCCTCCTTTAGATGCTTGCTCATTGTGCATCAACAGCTTTTAGTTAGTGGCTATTTAGGTAACTTCTGGCATTTCTGCTATTATTAGGCAACATTTTCTCTCAGCAACGTACATCTAGGCTTGAGATTCCTAAAACACATGGTTCTACGGTGCTACTATACCTCATGATTTTAACTAAGACAAGACTGTTCCTAAATACTTTTTGTCCATTGAATTTTGAAAATTTTTACAGAGGGATGAAGATGATTTATTCTGGAGTCTTAATCACAGTATTGTGAACCCTTTGAGATTTATATATCAGCCATACTTAAAAACTTGGGGTTTTTTCTAAGCTTTAGGATGGAGCCACAAATGATGCTAACTGGTAGTTTTTTCCATGAATCAGTACTTTTCCCAGTTGGTTGACTGATGATTAAGCTTACTTAATTATCTTTTATCTGTTTTAAAAATAGGTTTATCTGTGAGTTTGAAGAAATATGAAGTCTCTTAATCAATCCTTAAATATTCGGTTTTAAATCTAATAGGTTGAAATCTCTGAATTGTACAGTATACATTCTTAAAATTATTTCACTAGTAACCAAAACATGAAAAGGAGTGAGAGAGAGAGTCTATTTGAGACCTTCACAATTCATGCATTGGAAATGTGAGTACATGGGGATCTAGAGATGTGCTAGACATTGGACCTGCTTTCTTCCAATTTCATTTGAGACAGTGCTGTTTTATTTTGCATGATGCTTCCAATTTTAGTGGTAGGGCATCTGATATGCAAAATGGCAGTTATTCATACTTGTTCCATGAAATACTAGTAGTACAGTGTAATTAAAAAAAAAAGGCAGTTCTAGCTGTTGCATAGGGAAGAAATATAGTTCTCGATATAAGCTTTACTTCAAATGAGTAACATTTGTTGAAATGTCATCAGGATAAGCTGAGATAAAATTCAACATAAAGCTTTTTTTGTATAATATTTTTCTTGTTTTTCAACTTAATACCTCATTCTGTGTTTCTTCAAAACTGTGTGTATTTAAGCATAGTTACTGGAGTCGTTTTCCTTGCAATATACAAATTTTGACAGACTAGCACTTGTGCAGTCACAGCAAAATTATTTATAATAAAATAATGTATATTTCATTCTTTTCTATCTCTTTTAATGTAGTTGACTGTACCTAAACCACTTCATAAATAGCATCATAAAGCTGTAACAATTACACATGCATAAACTAATGATTTCCCCAGAATGAATAATCACTCAGGTTAAATGTGTAGGCTTCATTCTTATGAACAGACACAGGAGAGAACTCGCATATTGTCAGCTTCTGAATAGTATTATTGTAAGTGCCTGGTCCTGCATCAAAATACTGCTGTGTTTGGCACAAGTGCTTTAAAAATAAAAAGGATTCGAGTCCTAAGAGGCTTACAACTGAGTGTAGGACAAAAGTTAGCAGCCCTCCAGACCATTTGTAAATGATGGCAAGGTTGTAATTGGAACAACTATGAAATCTTATTACATTTCTAGAACCAAAAATCTTTAGATAGTGATTTTTGACAGCATAAGGCAGAGTATTTAATACAAATGCCTTTAATCTTGTTTAATTTTAATCTTCTCTTCATTTATTAGACTGGTCCTGCATTTTGCAGTTGACAAAAAACAAAGAAACAAAGAAAACCACTGGAAAAAACCTCTGAAACTCACGAGACCTCTGAAGTTTAGAAATATGTTTGTTCCTTGTCATTTTTCTTTCTAAATGCTGCTCTCTCATGCCCTGCCCCCATAACAACTGTATTCACATTCCTGGAGGTTTCTTAGAGAGCAGCAAAATCCTTGGAGATGCTATTTTTACTGTACTTCCATCTTAGTACTTTCACATACCTAGGTTTACCAAGGAAGGCTGAATAGTTACCAAAGCACATCTTTCTTTCTCAAGATTTTCTGACAAGTAAGGTGGTTGGTATGAAAATTTAACTACCAACCTCTTTGGGTTAATCCAGCATCAGTTTAAAACCTTCAATAAAGTCAAAAGAATTAAAATATTGTTTCTTCTGTTTCACACTTAGCAAAACTATCTAATCTTCTTACAGTTATTTTTCTTCTTCCTGGTGCAGGTGGAAGTGAAGCCATACGTGCTGGATGATCAGATGTGTGATGAATGCCAGGGCACTCGCTGTGGTGGAAAATTTGCTCCATTCTTTTGTGCCAATGTTACTTGTTTGCAGTATTACTGTGAATACTGCTGGGCAAGCATACACTCTCGTGCTGGACGGGAGTTCCACAAACCACTGGTAAAGGAGGGAGGTGACCGGCCCCGCCATGTCCCATTCCGCTGGAGCTGAACCCCAGGCCTCGCTCAGCAACTAGTACTGGAATACATAAAATCGAGTGAAAAGAGCATGCTGCCTCAGGGCTTAGTGTTCTGGAAATCTGTGCATTCGTCCTCGACTTTAATGAAGATATGGGTCTTTTTATTACTATTATTATTATTTACAGTCACATTACTGAACTCAGTGTCCAGTACAATACAAACCGGCAGAGTGTAACTGTACTGATTTTGCACTTTGATTCACACAAACATCTGCTTGGTACCTTAATTTCCTACACAAGACTTGTCACTAGTGACATTATGTAGACTGCCATTCTCATCAGCCTTCACTGGGTTGATGTGTATGTGATGAAGATTTTTTTATTATAATTATTTTTATTTTTAAACTGGAGCATGCACTTATTTTCAGAAATTTAGACTTGCCCCTAGCAGATGACTTACCAAAGGTAATATTCACAAGTAGGTGGCAGATGTAGCAAAAACTTAAACAGATATTCAGCAATCATTGGTTTGGGTCATTTAGAGTAGTAATAACCTTTCAAGAAAATAAGCCTTTAGTTGCTCTCCATTTTGATTTGTAAGGATGATACCTCATAAGCTGGATCAGACTTTTTTCTTTTGTTTTGCTGAGGTTTTTTTTGTTTTGTTCTGTTTTGGGTTTTTTTAGGTCTTTTAGTGTTATGTAAATGTATGCTGCAATAGCTTTTGCTGCTATTAAAATGGTATTACTAATACCATAATACTCTATTCAGGCTAGGGTTTCAATTAAAAAATGAATATGTGATTAAAATAGTGATGGCTGCTGAAAGGAGATCAGTATAGCATACAGAAAAGCTTCCAAGGAAGGTCAATATTTTTTGACTGCATGTTTACTTAATCAGGTTGCTGCATGCAATAAATTTTATATATGTCTAATATAAAACCTGCCCACAATGCACAAATTATGAATTTATGTAGGCTACAAAATACTCAGTAACAAAAAATTGATTACTGACTGGAGGAAGGCATGCCTCTGTAAATGTAATGCTTCTGAAATTAGAATCAGCCCATTACAGAATGACCTATATTACAACAAATATAAAAACTAGCTGTAGGATATTCTTAAAACAAATTTGTGGATGGTAGATGAAGTACTTTGCGGTGCTCTGTTATATATCGTGCAATTTATTTTATATAGTAAAGTGATTATGTCTAGTACTGTGATCAAACTTAACTGTTAAAGCCTCTGTATCCAACATTAACACACTTCTGACAGTTCATAACAGGTACATAAACAGAAATGAGCTCTTAGTTAAAATCTCTCTCCTAATGCTTGCATTATTTATGTAGCTGCAGACCTTGTCCAGAGAACCAAAGAGCTCATGCTAGCGTACATACACTACCGATTAGATAGTCTGTCAAACTAATAAAGTAGGCACATTTAAGAAAGTTAGGGGAAAAAAGTGGTGCTAAAGAAATGTCTGCATATAAAAGTAACGTGAGATGTCTGCTCTGTGGATGTGGCGTTATCTCTCTAATCCCTGGATGTATCCTGTGAAGCTTGAATACAATTAAGACCTGCTAACACAGTGGACATTTTTTTAGCATAAACTATGGGGCTGCAGATAGCATATAAATATAAACACACTTGGTATACTAATGATTGTGAGAATGTGTACACTATTTTTTTTCTTTTTCCTCCTTTGTTTTTGCAGTTCTGGGGACAATCTGACTGGATATGACACCGCATAGTAGATTTAAATGTTCTGGGTTTTGTTTGTTGTGATGTTCTTGTTTGTGTCTAATTTAGTATGTTTTTCCCAATGTTTAGTTGCAAATATTGGCTTTGAAAGGACTTTTTCTGTTTTTGAAAAAAAAAAAAAAAGAAAAAATAGTTTTTTACTGGTTTAAAATGCTTATTATACTTATCCCTTTTGAAGCTACTTCTGGGCATTTTTGTGATATTGCTTTTCCCAGCCCAGGTGTCTTTTCTGTTTTTTTTTTCATCTGTACAAGACATTTTGTTATGCACTACTTTTTGTATCTAGACAGTTTTCAACAGTCGGCTGATGATTTTTTTTAAAGAAAAAGGCATGCTTTCTGACTGACATGATCTTTTGCAATACCTCAATTTTGAAATATAAGAAAGAAAATGATATTTTCTAAGTAAGTTTATTCAGAAAAATATATATTAATTTAATTCTGCAAGAAAAATGATTTAACAGATGGGTAACTTTATTTTTTTCATGCTTATTTGAGTTTTTTTGAAAATGAAGAAGTTAGAGCTTTATAACTGTAATATTAAAGATCATAGCTAACCTACAGAAATCTACCTAATTATGTGAAAGAAGTAAACCTTTTTGAAGAAATACCCCTCTTTCATGTAGAAAAATACCCCCCAGAGAGAAAGAGAGAGAGAGAGAAGCTGGAAAATGTACAATATAGAATAATGTTGGATTAAATCTAAAACAAAATCATTGTAAAGAACAGGTGTAAACACAAACTCCATTTGGTGCTGAAAGTTATGAATAGAAGGTGAAAAAATATTTTCCCTTAATTTGTATATTTATAATCAAGTGTGATTATGCACGACTGACCAGAATTGTGAGAGTTCTTCTGTTTGTATTTTTTTAAAGAGAACTTTTTTTAGTTTATTAAATTATTACATGCTCCCTTTTGTTTTGTAAATGAATGTGCCCCCGAGCTGTTAATGTTATATTAAAAAAGGGTCCTTCAAAAAAATAGTTATTTTTTAAAATATGGAGTTCTGAACTGCAACTTGACTAAGAAGCCCCTGGGTACAACAGGTCCTACTGTGGCCTTTTCTGATGTGAGACTTGAACTAGTCGATTTTTTTGAAGGCTAACCTAACCTCGACTATTTGTTGTTATGTGCAATACTGTTTGTACTGTTTGTATAAAAAAAAAGAAAAATGAAAAGAAAAAAGGCATAAATCTTTATTGCAGATTTATTTTAATTGCAGACTTTAGACATTGTGATTCACTAAAATCATTTTTCTACTGTCAAATATGTACCTTTTCTTCATGCTGGTATTTTTTCAATAGTAATGTAGCCTTTGTACTGAGACAAATTTTCATTGTTATTTTTAGAAAGATTTTTTGCTAAGAAAAAAATTAAACATATTTACATATTTTTCATTTTTATTTCATATTTTCTTTAAGGAGTGCTTTCTCAACCATTAATATAGTTGTTTCTGGGAGAGACTTTCATATCTGGTCAATGTCATTAATATTATTTTGTATTTTTACTTGGAATAAATTAATTTTATGATGCTAATTCTTTAAAAGTTTATTTTTTTCATTTTCAGTTATTTTTGAAGCTAAAAACTTTGTAATATTGTTACTAAAGTGTCTAGTTTTTTGAAATGCAAAGCTTTATGTATTAACTTGCTGATGTGGTTTACAGTAGTGTGGCAATGATGAAAATGGTTGGTTATGTAAAGTGATTGGAAAATTGTAACAAAGAATTGGGCAATAAAATGACAGAATGAAGCAGAAAAAATGTGGTATTTTGAAAAGCCTTTTCCTTTATCAAAATGATTTAGGGAGATAATAGGGATGTCACAGTACCAGTTCACTGTCTAGATTTATACACCACCAGTGTTGATAAAATTCTATTGCCATTATAAAGAACTAAATCTAGTGAAACAATGGGTTTCTGACCCTGCCCATTCAGCATAATGCTCCGTTACTTTTCTCATCATAAACTCAAAAAACTTCCTTTTCAATAGTCTTAGATTGAACCTCCTAAAATATATATTCTTCATGGTATTTTGCCACCGTGTTGTTTATTTGACTAAATTGACCCTTTCCTGCACACCTTCCTTTCTGCATACGTTTATCAGTGGCAGCATGGAGCAGACTGTAGGTACCCACATCATTTTCTAATGAAGTTACCACACAGTGTTGGTAGCTGCCTAATTAATGCAAAATAATGTATGTCCATTTCCTGGTAGCAATGGGGTAACCCATGTTGCCACCATGTCTGAACGTCTGTTCGGCATCTTTGTCTTTCTCTGTTCTTCTCTGCCTCTCTTGTGTCTTTGTCTTTTTTCTTTTCCTTTTGTATTGGCAATACCAAGTGCCAGTATCAAAGCACTTTTCACTTCACTGCCATTTCCATCACCTTTGTTTCCCTCTGCAGCCAGAAGAAACCCCTTCCTGAAGCCAGTGACTCTCTGTTCTGGCACCTAAAACAATCCAGACTAAAACTGGTGTTGCGTAAACAGGGCATACAATGACTTTCTCTGGACAAAACAATTACTTCAACAAGTTATTGATGACTTTTTAGACTAACTTACACTAGAGTGTTAGAGTGACTCATCTGTAACTTGATGAAAGAAATGTGTCCAGAGTTGGTCTATTGTGTATCCTCTGTGTGTTCAGTTCTGTAAGTAATGTATAGACTAGATCAAATAGTGAAGTAAAATTTAGGCTCAAATTAGGTACTACTGGTTGGAATGTACACAAATTGCAAACAACGGAGATTAAGGAATGAAGAGGGAATAAAAAAAATTCCTGCTAAGTGGTACAAAGTTTATGCTTATATTTCTGCCTACATGCTTGTATTTTATAGCCTGCTAGCAAGGCATGGGCTAAAACAAATTGTATTGCAAATACGCAGTTAGCAAATAACTTTGCTGATTTACTATCTGTTAGAGTAGTAAAAAAAAAAAAAAAAAAAAAAAAAGGCGCTTAACTGGGGAAAGCTCCCATGTTAATATTTCAGTATTGTGACATCTCTACTTGCAAGGTATGAGTGAAAGATTAGTCACAGATTTGTAGAAATGTCTCTTTTGTTTAATCTGGCTTGTATGTAGTTGCTTTTATGCTAGTTTGTATTATGTCAGCTAACCCTTTTTCTTTTCCTTCCTTCCTTTCTTTTTTTTCAAACTAGACAAACTTCTTAATCTCTGCTGCTATAGTGTTCTATCATACCACAGAGTATTTTATATTCATGTTAGTGACTACTCTATACCCCAAATGGGTAGCTGGTCAAGAATCACATTGGTCACATAGTTCTGACACACAAATTTACGTGAGAAAAAGTTTAGCAGTAAGTAGAAAACCAGGGTGCTAATAAGAGATAATTTTGGCTCTTTTTTTTTTCTTTTTTTTTTTTTTCCTGGATGTAGTTCTGTTGGGGTATAAAGTATTAGATATTTGTAATTTTACTGTCAAAATAATGGACATGTTAGAACATTCACAGCTAAGATCTCTGTACTTGTTTTTCAACTAATTTTAAATGTACTGTATCTTTTATTACATGTTCTCTTAGATTGTTTTTGCTAGTAATTCTAACAAGGCTTCTTCCTTTTTGGCTTGGACTAATGCTTGTATGGAACTGCAGTACTGTGACTAAACATGGAGCTCAATGCTGCTATTGCTTACAACTGCTTAAACTTTGTAGTTTGGACTTTATTTTTTTCTGTAATAACTTATTAAATATAGTTGTATGAAGTACTGATATTTGTCATCCTTTGCACATGCTAAGGAAATCCTGGGATATGCATTATGGGAATGTAAACTAGCTACAAAACCCCCAAATCTTTTATTGGCAAACTGTTTACACTAGATGAGGTTAAGCAAATACACACCATCCTCACCTGCATACAAACTATCTTTTCTAGTTATTTGATAATACAAGTATATGGTCCACTTATGTTTGCTCTCTAAAATGGAAAAGCCATCCCTGATAAGACATTTATTATGCTAAGACAAAGGTTAATACAAAAATAATATACTATGGAAATATTTTTGAGAATGTAGTTTTCCCCACCAAATGCAGTAGCAAGTGCTTTGAAAAAGGAATTGTTGAATTAGTTTCTCTGAATTTAACAAAAATTGCTGGCTAACTTACATTTGCACTTTTTTTAATAGCAGTTTATCAATGTCTGCAGGCTAGAGATTGGGCTGATCAGTTGAAAAGCAAAAAACCACTACAGCACTAGTTTCTAATGGCTTCTATTTTAAGAATAGGAGACAATCAAAGCTCAGTGATGTAGCTGTTTGAAACTCTACAGAATACTTCCTTGAAAAGATGTGAATTCTGCTATGTCAGGGCAAGTGAAGAGCACAAGAATAGTGCATGTTCTATGTCACAGCTTTCTTTCAGTGTCTACATAAATGCAGCTCAACAACGGAGATGGAATTATCAGCACTAGAAATTGCAGGCTGACTTCAGTGTATGTGTTCCACTTAAACAGGAATGGCTAGAAATTAAATGCCCTTTGGAAACTCTATGAAAAGCTGGTACGGTTATGTGTGCCAACTAAGTATTGTGCACGCTCCCTTAGTGGGTGGAGCCCTGTGGCTTGTGTTATGCTATTTTATTCTAACATTACCATGTGCAATACCTCATACATGTGAGAGAAGGAAGCTTGGATGCCAAAAAAACCCCAGAATTTTCAGGCATGGACTTGTTTTCAAACTGGTAGTGAATAACTATAACTCTTGGGAGAATGGTTTACTGACTTCTTTCCAGGAGACATGGTTTCACAAGACAGTGATCTGCAATAGGAATTCCAGTTGTAAATAAACGTATGAGCAGTTCTAGGCTTCTGGTTACTTTGGAGTTAAATCTGAGAAGAGAGTTCGTATAAATACCTTCCAATTAATTAGTGTTAAACTGTTTATTGTAGCCTCTCTCCATACAATGTTCCAAGTCCATCTGGACAAAATCAGTTTGGGCTTACCCCCATCCTCTATTGTGGAGAACAATGGTGGGAGGAAAAGCAGCCTCTCTGGAACTTCTAATCCCCAATCCATCCATTACTGCATTACTGATAAGTAAGCCATGCCACTTGTAAGATACTGATACTGACAATTTTCCTTCTCCAGCTGATAGCAGCATTTAACTCAGCTATTGCTTGCATTAAAAAAAAAAAAAAAAAAGGTTGCACTAATTTAATTTAAACCAATGCACTTAAATATTTAAGTACAAAAGGCTGCATCGCCTCTTTTGCTTATGGTTTGTGTATGTTATTTTTGCTAGGCTTAACTGAACTAAAATAGCTACTTGTATGACTACTAAAGCTTGTGTATAAAACATAGTTAGGCACGCTTCTAAGCAAAACATTTTTGTACTCAAGGCACCAAAACAACACATCAACCCTCACACAGACCTGCAGAAAAGCCAAAGCTTAGCTCTTAAAAGCCATAATCTCATTTTCTCATGTTTACCAAAAGCTAAACAGCGTGAGCACACGGGGAGAATGGCTGCACTGTCTCTCCTAGGGATCAGCTGGAGAATGGGTTTTGAAACAAGCGACACATTTAACCTGTTTTCATAAAAATGTTGCTAGCTACTTGTGAAACCCTTATGCCGCACAATTCTATTATGAACACAGGACAAAGCTGCGTACACCAGATGCACACATAAACTATGCCTGTTGAAATGAATTCTCTCTCCCCAGTGGCAAGCAAGGTTTCGCAAAGTTTATCTTGGGATGACAAAGTTTATCCAGAGCAATTTGAGAAGGAAACATGCTAAAAGTCCAGAAATCTCTCCCTTTGCCTGTTTTGGAAGGAAAAATAAAATATCTGCAAATACAAAGTCATATGGCAGGCCTTTGGCAATAGGTAGGACAGAACTCGTGCTGCCTCACTTGTAGCACAGTAGCTTCCCAGTGTGACCATGACAACCATTACTTGACTAGCACGGTAGGCACTTGGGGTTAAATCAGTAAAACCAGGTATCCATTTGCTACTTTTAGGTGCCTGAGTGACACTTATTTGCTACGAACTTCCTGAAATCCCCTTTGAGCTGCTGCCTAGCACTGCTTGTGCCTATGTTTCTGTGACCAGGAATATGTAAGAAGGCTTTTGTCTTAATACTTGTGAATTGTTCAGTAACCTGAGATCTTCTTAGATTCTCAAGGTATTTCCTTGTATTCTTTTTTTTTTTT